GAAAACAAAATGACCAGCTTAGTAATATCTTATATCGGCGAATAAGGATTTGATAGCTGGTCTTATTTGTAATGTTGGTTGCTAACCTATTTTACTTGTTTTTGGATGTCAAGCTCAGAAATGAGCTTAGCAGCTCACGTCATCAGAAACAAAACAGTAAGGATAATAAAGCTCAAAGCAAGTAATATATAGTAGGTTGGGTCGGGCTGTTACAAGTTTTGTATCAATAAGTTTCATTCAATAAAGAAAGTTCAATGCTGATGATTTTCCCCTCAAATATGTTAGGAAAAGAAGATCGAGCTTCATTTAGATTTTTTTTAGTTCAATTCATTTTAGTTTCCTAGGTAATTTTAGAGTGTTTTAAAGTTAACATGTGATTTAGAAAGGTTTTAATTGTGTTTCTAAATGAAAATTAATTGAAAATAGATTTTTAACCTAAAAAGTCTTATCCATGATTTTCCACTTATCATATTAGTGACTAAAATTTGGGTTGGACAACTACATGCAACACATTTGTTGTCCTTGTCCTTGTAGGTGATATGCCATCTTTTTTTATATTCTTTTTAAATTAAAGCACGATAACATGTAATTCATCCCCTATAAAAGAAAAAAAATGATCGAGGCACCTTGATTTTTTTTTAAACCTTGACACGCTAAGACACTCAAGCTTGCGGACTTGTCTTCACCTTTTATTTTTTGACCTTCAACATTTGGCTTTTGATTAAAAAATATTAGTTTTTTTTTTCATTTTTATTTTTTAAACATTAAGTTAATTATAAAATGGTTTTTATTTATTTAAAAAATTATTAAATCCATTAAGTTTATAATCCAAATGAGTTTGACAAGTTAACACATTAATCTCAATTTAATATATATCTATCTCAATTTTTTTTAAAAAAAATATCTTTAATATTTTTAAAAGCTAAATCGATTTGTTTTGGCCTTTGGGTTTTTTTTTTCATTACTTTTTTTTGTTCTTTGATTTATTTATTTATTATTTTTTAATGCATCAAATCAATGAAAATTTCAACACAATTTCATTTGAATCTTGAACTACGAAAAGAGTCAAGTTTAAAAGTTTTTAAATTTGAGATATTAAATCAAAGTTTAATTATAATAACAAAAAAATTTCCCAACCACTTAGAACAATTTTATTGTACTTTCATGAAGATCTTGCTGTCACCGGCATCGTAGCTTTGCTAGTCATCGAGTACTCCCTGCAAATTTTGCGTTGTAGGTTCGAATTCACCCATACTCGCTGAGCAACACCATCTTTTCTTATCTTTTTTGTATACGTGGATTTGATCCTTGAACACCTTTTCAAGATTAGTTTTATATATTTGTTTAATATTTTATTATATTTTAAATTTATTTATTAGGTTGTATGAGTGTAATGTTTTATACTTGTATTGCCTTTATATAATATTATCATTGTGAAAAAAAGAAAAGAAAAACAGAAAAACTACATAATACCCAGAGAATTCTAAATCATAAAAAATTGATTTAATATCTGTTCTATTTATTGATTAGTTATTGAAATTAATAGAATAAGACCACATATCTTTTTCCTGTAGTGTTAATTAAATCCTTATGATAATATAAATTATTAGAAATAATTTTCCTTTTCTTGAAAAATCTCATAGTTTTTCTTGTCAATCATGTTACACAGTAATTTAAGCTTGTTTTGTGATTATAAATGAAGAAATCGTCCACTTTTGTGATTATAAAAGAAGAAATGCCCAAAACCTTCGTTAGGCCATCACCACATGAGGCTAGCAACAAACGTTGGCCATAACTTTTGTTACTTGCAGCCACTTTGAAGAATGACATTGAAGATAGATTGGAAGGATCTCATTAAAATACTGTTCTGGTAAATTGCTTGACATATTTATTGTGGCAGCTGTCTTAAAAGTTGGTGAAAGGAACTCGCATGGCACCAATATGCATGAATACTTGAACTTAACGAAATGGGTGAGTTGTAGCCTCTCATTTGATGGATAATATATTTTTAATTTTTAGTTTAAGTTTATATTTAAAAGAATTAATAGTGTTACTATTCTTAGTCCTAGATAATATGAGTTTAATTTGTTTCCAAACTTAACATCTTTAAGTTTAACTAAGCGCTAAATTCAAACATGTATGAATTTTGCAAGTTTTTAAACTCAATATTTTTAGATTCGGCTACACATCGAGTCTAAGTATATATGAGTCTTACAAGTTATTAGACTCAATATCTTTGGGTTCAATAACGCGTTGAGTTTAAGTACATGTAGGTATAATGAATTGACGACCTATCAAACCCAATATCATTGGGTTTAGCAACGCTTTAAACCCACACACACATAAATCTTATAAGCTGTCAAACACAACATTCTTTGGTTTGGCCACCCATTGAACCCAAATACATATAAGTTTGGTTAGCTGCTAAACCCAACATCTTGAATTTAGCTACATGTTGAGCTCTAATAACTATGAGTCTAATGAGTTACTAGACTTACTGCTCGTAAGCTTGGTATCATACTAAGTCCAAATGGATATATTGAGTCATGAGTCTTTGTTTGTTTATTTTTATAATTGTTAATATAAAATATTAATATCAAGAATATTTATCTCTCTACATTTACATGTATATAGAAGTTTTTTAAGAACCCATTACATTTTTATCTTTATTCATATTGTGTAAAAGATATTTATCCCTCATCCCTTATTTAATATTGTGTAAGAGATATTTATTTTTTATTAATATTATTAAGAAAAAATAACCCTTCAAACCCTTCATCCCCACAACATTACAATGTTTAGGGGCTATAAATACCCCTTAAAGCATTCAAGTAAATAGTTTATAATTTTTATTATTTAAGTATTTATACTTTAATTCTCAAAGCATTTATTATACAAAAACAAAAAGAAATGCTTTTATTCCTGGAATTTAAATCTTATTATGAATTTATTATAACTTATTATTTAAAAATCATTAACTTTATCATCTGATGGTTCACAAACCCCACTATAAAAGATTGTTACGTAAAGAGTGAACTTTGTAGGCCAATAATTTAATTATTATGAGTGAACTTTGTAGGCCAATAATTTAATTTCTAAACTTTAAAAAAGATAATTTTAACATGAACAGAAAATTATTTATTATTCAAATACTTAAAAATCAATTTTTTAAGTGTATCAAGTTTTGTAACATCATCAAGTATCATTTTCACAATTATATTTGCAAAAGTAACTTCAATAATTCCTCCTATTATTGGACTATTTTTTGTATGGTTTTCTTTACTCTTTCAACATAAAAAAGTTGTTGCCACTCTTCTTCTAGAGTGATGTAACGATCCAGTTTGAGGATGAGGATGAAACCAACCATTTCTTCTCTTCTATAAATGTGTTTTGCTAGCGTATAACATGAATAATCCCTTTAACATAACCTGATTTGAGTTTCACATTAAATAAAAGAAGTTTACTTAATAATATCCGGTTAAAATCTTTGATCGTATTAATTTTTCAAAAAAATTAAAAAGAAACTATTAATTTATTTAAAAAAATTAATTAATCTAAATTAATCTGTTTAATCAAAAACTCAAATTTTATTTTAAATAGATTTTAAGTCCAATTTAATACAAACAAAACTCGGGTTCGCTTTATAACCCGCTGAATTTAATTAATAATAGCGTGTAAAAGGAATGGATCTCTATTTCATGTAATTGTTTCTTCAAATCACCAAGTCTCTCGGGACTCTTTTTATTAAACTTCTAAAGAGGTTTTTCAGAAAGTTAGAAAGGGGGGACAACTTTTCAGTTTTGGGACAACATGGTAACGAGAAATAGCTGTCTGCTGTTCTGCTGGGCCTCCTTCTATCCAACCACAATGTAGCCTGTGTTTAGTAGTGCATGGTCCCACCAACCAAGCCCAAACCATGTAGTGGCTCTTTATGCCTTTGAGGTTACATGCATTCACGTGACATGTTTGCTTGTAATGAGCCAGACCGGTCAATACAGGAGTTCCTTTTCTGACGTCTTTTTTTATGCTATTTGGAAAACGAAAGAGCCAAGTAAACAATCAAGTTAAAATTCAAACGCAACGAGTAAAATTGAGCTTTGCATGTAATCATGCTTATGAAACTGAATGGATGAAGACCAGCAATATTTGTTGCCTTTCATGGTAAGCCTAGCCAAAAGTCTTCTTTTCCAATCGCATGAAGTGTATTTGATAATATAATATAAAGTGTTTTCTATTTTAAAATATATTAAAATAATTTTTTAGATAGTTTTTAAATCAACATATTAAAACCATTGGAAAACACTAAAACTATAAAACAAAAGACATAACACCCTTTAATGTGATATTTCAATTTCAATGGTGATGAAAAAGATGTGTCAAAAGGACTTAGCACAGCACAATTTTAATCAAATTAATATTAATCGTGAAATATGATTCAAAATAAATGAGCTTGATTGATTTGGACACATGCAAGCAAAAGTATTTTTTTTTTTATTTTTTTATAAATCGAGGTTAAAGTCTAAAACTATTTTTTTTTATTTATAAATCGAGGTTAAAGTCTAAAACTATGAAACAAATAAGAAAATACTATTCCAAACAAGTTATAACACAAAAATCAATACAGATCCTCTAGAAAGTCATTAATAGTCAAATTATTTCTAGATAATAGATGCATGGAAAAACCAAAGTTAGCAAGTCAGAGTAATAGCAGCATTTACCTCTCTTTATAATTATGTTGTATTTGAACTTTCCAATCTCTACTTGAAGCTTGCTTGAGCTTTGCTAATCAAGACAAAGTTAGCATAAGCTTTTCATGAACTGGTTCATGATTACATTCACACGACTAAGGAATTAGATTTCAAAATAGTTCTGCCAATGCCCAAGAACCAAGCCAATTCTAGCATGAACTTAAATAATCACAGGCCATAACCCACCACGAGCTTAAATACAAATCTCTGTGTTAATAGCAAAACATTTAATTCAATAAGCCATGCAGCCTCTAATTAAGGGATATAGTATTAAGTATTAAGAAATCAACAACATTGAGAAAAAGGTAGCATTACATTATCAAAGAGTACAGTGCACACATATATTTACAGAGTAGAGGCTCTTAATTAACTCGTTGCATGATTCTATCTCAGTCGACTGCCTCGCATCCCAAACATCATATGCCTTGGCTGGACTCAGTCATTCACACTTTCCTTCATGAAAACAGGGTTGACCCTTCTTGACACGCACTCAGAGAAAAAGCAGGAAAGGAGCCAAAAGCAGAGTAATTATTAGGCATTCATAGAAATATCCAATCTGGCCTGTCCATTCTTGTCTACATAGCTACAACAGACTTCCAGCTTTATTTGGACCCACTTGCTCTTCCCCAAGCCAACCTCTAAGGCTCTAACCATCCTCCCTCTCTGTGACATCTGCCTAGCGACCTCCCCTTCTTGGAGCTCAATCTAACTGATTACATTCTCATTCCAAAATGATCAGTGATAGATGTGACATCCTTCTTAATTTAATCCTTAGCTTGGAGATCATGGTCAGATAATTTCAGGGCTGATATTATATTGGTGTTGATCATGCATGGTACTAGCTAGTAGGCAGCTTATGGATTCGTTATTCTTCTTACCAAGCATGCAAAAACAAGCTAAAGCTGGATGACCCACCTGTGTTATCATTCTCTAGTACTGAGCCATAATTCTCTTCTTCTTGAGTCAACAACAATGGTGGAGATGATGATGATGATGATGATGATGATGATGATGATGATGATGATGATGATGATGATGATGATGATGATGATGATGATGATGATGATGATGATGATGATGATGATGATGATGATGATGATGATGATGATGATGATCCAGAAACTAGCTTAAATATAAATAGACCTTGCCTTGGGCCTGAACCAAAGAGCCAGTCATGCACATCCCAATAAACATCCACTCTAGTGCTTTTATTCACATGGATGGACTCGTTTCCTCTAAATTTCCACTGAAGATGCTTTACAAGAATGGCTTGTTCCCCATCTACCTTTATCTCTAGTTGAGGATCAAACCGGTCACCAATAATATTGCTGCCACTGCTACCGCCATTGATGCATTCAATTGAGATCCCATGGAACTTTCCCTTCTCAATAAACTTAACTCTAGTCTTGAATCTCTTCTTGCCAAATACATGTTCCTTCCTTGACACAAGCATCGGCTCAATAAGAGCAGGCCTACAGCCTGTCTTTCGGTAGGCATCTTTCTTTAAATCTCCAACAAGTAGAACCACCTCTTCTTCGCAGACAATAGCAACATAGTAGTCTGATTGTGGCTCCGTCTCCCCATTGAACTGTGCGGCCTTAAGGTCCCAGACCACATCAACAGCCCTACCATCTACTATGAATTGCTTTGAACCTTGTTTTCTCCAAAAGTTCCATGGCTTAAGCTCGACCTTGCACTGATGATGCTCGCTTCCATTCGTTGCTTGAACAGAAATAGACAAGCCATGCATCAAGAGATTCTTGCACCATGTAATGATGATCAAACGGCAGAGACCAGCTAACTTTGTTCGATACACAGACATAAACACACTCTGGCCTGACCTGGTTACAGTAGCCCCTGGCTCAACAATTTGCCTTTCACCAGAGGAGAAGCAGGCAGGGATACCTAATGAATCAGGCATGATATATGCTCTCTATACACTACAAATAATAAGATAGAAACGGAGAATAGATTCAAATGCTTGATTAAACTAACTAGAGGGAGACAAGGTTCAGGAGATTTGGGTTTGATCAAGATCTCTCAGTTTCACCTCAAGGTCTGTTCATGGATGCTACTGGCTAGTTGTTTTCTTGGGAGAATGTTAGATATCAAGACTCGAGAGATCGTCCTTACTGCTTCAATAACCAATTTCCAAACTCGAAGTTATTTTGAAGATAGAGGAGTAAGAAAGTAGGAAAAGCAACACATTTTATAAGCCATTATACACTTCTCGTGCAAGCTTTTCAATCTCTCCCCTTTTGCTTTTACTCCTTTCTGTTTCCAATCAACTTAACTTTTTCCCCGTTCTTAAAGTGGGTTTGGCTTCAATCATAGGTTACTATCATATTTATTTTTTATGTATGATAAAAAGGGAGAAAACCCTTTTCCTCACATTTGAGGCTTCTGATGAAAGTGTACTCCCTACAGAACAGAAAAAGGTTGGTGTGGGGAAGAGGGTCAAGCTACTTTCAATATAGGAGCATGTGGGAGGAGTGAAAAGATGCTGCTAAATAAGATGTGGAAAGATATTTGGATTTTCCATATATATATATATATGCGCGCGCGTGTGTACGCGCTTGTTTTTCTACCTCTTTACCCGTAGTTTTCCTTCAGTCATTAACTTCCTCGGAAGAGTTATTGCAGGAAAATAATTAGACAAGGAATCTAGATTCCAGAAGCAACAAATGCTGAAAACCAGAGGGATCTAAGGCTGGCCCAGCTCTTGGTTGCCTCTCCACCTAGAAGACAAGCACGCAGAGAACAAAGAAGCCTAGATGATGCGTAAGGAGATAATTACTTGTCAAATTAGAGTTTGAATAATAACTTCCAGACTAGAGAGTTTAATTCACCCTTGTGCCTTTATTATGAACTTGGGTATGACCTGATCTGTCTCCAAGGCATGATGCGTAAGGAGATAATTACTTGTCAAATTAGAGTTTGAATAATAATTTCCAGACTAGAGAGTTTAATTCACCCTTATGCCTTTATTATGAACTTGGTTATGACCTGATCTGTCTCCAAGGCTCTCCTCATGAACCTTATTAATTTCACCAAATATGACTAACTGTGATTTCTGAAAATAATTTCAAGCAAATTTTAGGCTTTTTGCATAACCAGGTGGAAATCATGATACAAATTGATCCTTTTGGATTGATTTCATCTCCTTTTAGTTTGATTTCATTTACATAATACATACCATCAGTGTTTGTTACACTGGGGTCTGAAGCATGCTGTATGATCTTTCAGCCATACCTGGAAACAGAGTATCTGGCAGCATCCACATCCTCTGATCCCGCTACAAACAAAATGCTCAGACAAAAACTTCAAATTTTATTAATGTAAATGGTGATCTGAAACAGACCCTGAGAATATTGAAAATTCCAAATGGCTCATCCTAATTCATGGCAATACAATTAACTCGTTTATTAGACAGCAAGATTGGTGGTCCCGAAAAAAGCATCAATATCAGTACGATCACAAGAAGTACATCTGAGCTGGAAAGCAGATGGAAGATAAAGGAAAATACTAATGGAACTTGCTGCCTCATTAGCTGTTCAAAGATACCACAATTTTCTATATGGACTTTTACAATTAGGAGTCTCAAACCTAGGCAGCGCACTTGCATGGTTGCAGGTGTTATAGCTAATAACCTAGTTTTTTCAGGAAGCAACACAGTAGGTTCTATTAGCCCACAAGATCAACTGTTATGTCTGAAATGATTCAAATCAATTATCATTACTGTAATGTCATCCAAACTACCCCTAGTCACAGCAAGGTTCACAAGCTCCTTACAAGCATTCTCAAGCACCACAGAGGCAGATCTCTTCTTGTACCAACTATTTTCTTTAATAGGAGACTCGGTCTTGATGTTTATTCGCTTGACCAATGAAATTTTTCTTGACTTTGTTGGAGGACTTTCATTTTCACATGCAAAATCATCTTCATTGTCTTTCCAGCTGCAAACCTTCTTCTTATAGCTTGGTGAGTGTCTGGACTCTTTTTGCTGCTTGACGAGTGAAATCCGCCGCAACTTAGATGAAGGGCTTACATTTACACAACCATAATCAATATCATTATCTTCTAGAATATCTCCTGTGGTTCCCACATTCTTCTCAGCCATACACAATGAAATTACCATGTCAACAGCTTCTTGGTTCCCAACCTAGGGCACAAATTACCAAAAAAGAGTTAACAGCCACATAATTCCATAAATCAAGCAATGAAGTCAATGCCTTCATAAACCATACAAATGTCAACTCTGTCTGTCAACTTCAGGATGCACTACTGGACCTTAATGTTGCAAAAGTAGAGAAAAGGTGCTCAACCCTGTAAGAGATGGTTTTATACTAGTAATTGAGATTAAAGCGGCCTTCAATTTTCACAGTTAGTAGGTTAGGTCCAAACTTAAATGAGTGATTATTAAGTAAAAACTCTCAATCCCATAATTTAATGCATTTGAAATGACAAAGCATATTATTTTACCGAGAGTTCACACAAGCAAAAAGAAATGAATTTAACAAACGAAGGCAAAGGATAGAATAAAACAATTTTCCATTACCAATATTTATGAGTTAAATCCAAGATCAAAGTTCATGCATAAAGTTTCCACAATGAGCATTGTCCATCTCACCTCGTCCCACAGTCCATCAGAAGCTAAGACGAGAAATTCCATGTCTGGACTCAGCTTCAGGATCTTTGTATCCGGCTCAGCCAGTACCCAGTCCTTCAGATGAGCATCTCCAATGCTTCTAGAAACAGAAAGTATCCCATGAACTCTCCACGCACCTCGATGAATCTCAACATATCCTCCCTGAATCACATTATTAATGAATATCACAGGTAATCCACAACCCCTTTCATGCACTGCTGTATATACTACCATGTTTCACCATGATATAAACCATACCTTATCTTCTATCCTTTTACGTTCATCCTCCCGTGCTGCTCTATGATCTTCTGTAAGGGCTTCAGCTACTCCTCCTCTACAAAGAACAGCTCGACAGTCTCCTAAGTTTGAGATAACAACCTCCTGCCCTTCAATTAAGGCTGTGACACAGCAAACGCCACTGACTAAACCCTGCATTATTGACAATATACAGCCATTCTTCTACAGTTGATCAAGACAGATAATAGGAGTGGTGAAAAAGAAGATGCATTATTGTTGCACTTGTACCAGTCTACTCCCTCCTTTTTCAAGTAATGTACACAGCAGGATATATAAAGATGGGATGGAAGAACGATGTCCAAATGCAATCTCAATAAAGAAAAATATTTATCATCACAAACAATTGCTTTCAGCTTCACATTTAGTCTTTTGAAGAACCAGTCCTATCCTCGAGTTAGTCTATTCACCATTCAAAACCAGTTTTGTAAGCCTTAATCAGATAGAATCAATTATGTAATCCATAAACAGGATTGGTATAGCCAGTACTCCAATGGTCGGTGTAAAGCTTAGCTGAGCCTGACATCTGAGTAGACTACTTATGATCAAGTCCTTGAAGGTTTTGGGGAGTTAGACTGACAATGAAATCACAGAATTCTGCATCACGACACACAAGACTCACATCCAGTTTAGAATGAAGAATTAGGACTTCTACATAATTAAGACTGATATAAAATTAATTCAAGCTGCACATAGTCTCTTGTTGCTCACAAATCATTCTTTTTCAGTCAATTATCTTTCTCCAAACTATAAATAGCAGCAGCTTTTGTGGACCAAGAAAACCCAATAATCTTTAGCTTTCCGATTATGGACAAGTATAGTCAAAATTCTAATTAAAACAGTTTACCTGCCTTATAAGCTAGAAGCAACAGTTGACACGAAATTTCAAATGCATTCCAATTTGCAAGAAGAATTAATATCATCAAACATGAGAACAAAATTTACAGATGTCCAACGATTAGTGTACAAGAAAGAGTAAAGGGATGATGATACCTGTTTCAAGAAATCCTGGTCAGTTTTCAAATACCCAGCTTTAACAGCTTCCTCTTTGGAAACATTCCCTGCATCACAATTCACCATCTTTTCAAGAATATTTACGTGCAAATTCTCTGCAACAAACTCCACTGCCTTTTTGCCTCCATGCCCATCATAAACTCCAAAAAATCCCTACACGTTACATTACCCACAAACAAAAATCAGAAAAAGAATATATAAATATCGAGTTGGAAAGCCGAGAAAACCCAGTAGTAAGAGAGAGTATTACTTGGTTTGAGTTGCCATGCAAGCAAGAAACAATCTTGTGGGTATCTTCCATGAATTTTTTCTTGCCTCTGATAGCAGAAACACCAACACCATTCCCACTGAAAGAAAGGGCAGTGTTCCTGGGAGTGAGTTCTTGGAGACGGGGTTTCGTACTGGTATGACTCTTAACAGTGTGGATTTCTTGGAGCACATTTGGGATCTCAATCATGGGCGGCCTCTTTCGCTTCAAAGAACTACAAGCAGTATCTAAAGCTAATGATGATTCCTTGGTGGGTTTCTCGTCCATTTCTGCCTGCAAATGCTAGGTAGAGAGAGAGAGAGAAGAAGAAGAGTTGGGCTGCCTTCAACGGCTATAAAAAAATGAAAGAAAAAAGAAACTGAGAGAAATGGGAAGGATTTGGGACTTGGGAGTCAAAAGTAAAATGGAGAAGGTGGGTCAAAAAATCAAAAGAAAATATTTTTTGGGTTTGAGCCGTTGGAGGTAAATAATGGTCAAGACTTTGAATGTGTACTTAGTTGGACTTGGAGGGAAATGAATGCGAGTCTAGTTCTGGATCAAGTTAGGGCACCCTTAGATGAGAATTTCAATTTGGTTTTCGTTAATCCATGCCAATTTTCTTTTTTCTTTATCTCAAAACACTTGTATTGTAAATATAGATGCATCACACACGTTATTTGATCTAGAGCTCGAGAATTTCTCAATTTTTTTTATTTTTTTCCTTGTTTTTTTTATTATTTTAATGTAAAAAAATAATTTTAAAAAATTAAAAAATATTATTTAAGTACATTTTCACACAAGAAATATTTTAAACTATTTAAGAGAGCTAGGATATCTAGCAACATTATAGTAATTATTTTTAATATATTGAAATAATATTTTATTAATATTTTTAAAATTTTATTTTTCACATTAAAATATCAAATTAATCCAATTCAGAAACATTAAAAAAACTAATTCAAAAAAAATCAAAAAAATTTTAAAAACAGCATTTTATACCGTAAAGACAAACAATATCTTCGAGAGGAAATGGGAGTTCCTGGGATAGGATTAATGGTAGAAAGAATTCGAATTCCTTGGCTTCCTTGATTTAAACCACAAATACATTTCAATTTGGTCTTCATGGTTTCTTAATTTCTTCTCAAAAACAAATAAATAATGGTCTTCATGGCAGAGGCTTGAAGCCTAAACACCTTGATTGCAAGGAAGAGTCGGAGAGTCGTACGAGAAGTACATAACATCCATCATCGTACTCTTCTTGCTTGGTAATAATGACCACAGTTCCAGCTAGCTTGGCCAAATGAAACTATTTCTGGGTTATCAGACCAGAGGCCGGCAGCTAACAGAACAGAGATTACAGGCCTCCTAAACACAAACTCCAGATTTTCAAAATTTATCCAAGTTTCCAAAGAGATGGCGCCATGAATGTGCAAAAGACCTGCAGAAATAGAAGCGGCAGCAAACAGTTCAACTTCATCTGCCACCAGCTGCGACATGCTATGGAATCAATGGACTTCAAATAAAATCTAAGACTAAAACGCTTTTTATATACAATCAACTGCATATACTGCAAATCTATACACCAGTTCATGTTTCGGACCATGAATGAACTGAAAGAAGTTCCGACTCCTTTGACCATGACCAGCTTTTTATATCTATAATTTGTAACTTTTTTTTTTTGGTGGGGGTGTTTACACTGGATCCGGCAAAGACCCCAGAATTACAAAATAATCATCTAGCATACAAACCCCTTTCTTAATTTCAGGGCAAGTATCCAATCTTGCCACAATCAAAGCCATTTTATTGCTAAGCTTCGTGAGCAAGGTCATTTTGATCGGACGAGGCAAAAGAAGGAAGCCAGAGTTCTATCCTGGTTCCCCCAGTTCCAAGGGCTGCGTCTGAGACTCGAGGTGATATGACACGAACCACACAACCATAATTCTCAAGTATCTCACGAGCAACAGTCAGCCCCGCAACAAAATTCCATGTCATGTTGTCTTCGACCATGTTTTCTGAGAAGAGCTCTGCTCCAAATGGTATAAGCGATCGCATCTGGGTCTGCATCCACATTCACAGGCATATCACTTAAATCCAATCAACAACACAGGTTGTATTTCAAGCACAATTGGAAAGGGTGCTCTGTGAGCAATGACATGATTTTGTCCATTTCTTTTCTCACATTTTTCAAGAAAGTATCCACATGGAAAGGGCATTGATGGAAGGAGTTTATCATGAGACATTACGTTGTAACATTTAGAAAATGAAGAAAAAAAGAAAAGAAAAGAGCAGCCACATTGTATACAGACAATGCAAGAAAATTTTGATTCAAAAAAGACAGTTTTAAAATCAACAAACCAATTATGTGGGCTGTGAGAGTTGGGAATGCATGCAAAGAAAAATATTTTTTGTATGATGAACACTTGACATTGTTAGGATCCCAGTTAATGCATAGCAACTAAATACTAGAAAGTGTGTTGAACCACTTTCTAAATTAAAACCAGAAAATTGCAATTGACCTTTGCTTTGCTATCCTTCCAATCTATTCTGAAGTACACTTATTTACTTTAAGCCCTTCATGAGAAGGAAGGTAACAAATCAATCCCTGGTATCATTCTTTTGCTATGCCTCCCATCCTTCCATAAGCAACTTTAAAAGGATTCAATATGTGCACTGTTTGGTATGTCAAAGCATCACAACCCCATGAAGCGAACAAATAAAGAGAATCCAAGAGATTCACAATCACTAATTTGAATAAAGAAAATGTACTTGGGAGTGAAAGTGGACCGTTACCATGTAGTGCATATCAGGGCCATCGTCGTCAATAACTACAAGAGCACCACCTGCTGGTGCTCCAGTAGATACAATTTCAACTTTGCCACCAACATGTGTGCGCAATAATGCACCCTCGATTAAATTGCTCAGAGCCTGGCGTAAAGCTGGTTCTTCTATGGCAACTTGCAGAGATTGAGAAAGTTCACTGAGTTCTAGAATACGTTGCTGCTTATTGGCAAGAGGTATCGCTGCCTCAACCAAATCTGACAGCACCTCAGAAACATTGCATGGTCTTCCTGACACATGACAAGCATAAGATAGAGGATTTTTTTTTTTTTTCAATTTTAAAGGCAAGGATGAAATAAAACTTGGGTAGATTTAGATTTCAAATGCTCCCCCCACCACCAAAATACAAATAAACAGACGTGCAACCAAATAGAAAATAGAAACTTTATTTTTAGCACTAGATCTCGTGTCACATTTCTTAATGTTCAGAGCCAATTCAAATACTATCAACATGTATCACTCAAGTTGAGGATTTAATGCAAGGCTACCACCTACAAGGCTACCACCTACCGTATTCCATGTTGTTGTAGAGGAGAAAGAGCCAAAGGTGGCATAGGCATCTCCATGTCCTTGGATGCAGGATTTAGAAAACGTGGATTGCCAGGAGTTTGCAACTTATCACTGCTATCATTCAAGAAGTCTTCTGGTAATTGAGATCTCATTGACTCTGGATGGGCATAAGCTGAATTGTGAATTTTCTTTAATGTCTCTCCATTATACCGCAGTATATTGGCCTATATAATCACGAAAGAGAAATTTGGTTTTTCAAACTCCACAATTTCTACACCATCAGCAATCTCACTATGAATTTGTAATTCCAACTGCAATAGGCTGTGAAACTTAGAGACAATTCAACGCAATGTAAAGTGAAACTATACATCAAAACCAATGGCATTTATATGAAAGAAGTAACTAACCAAATAATCCTCAATGGTAAACAACCATTTTGGGAAAGAAAAATTGTACTTTGGAAGAATGCTAAAACAAAATTCACAAGGCATAGACTATGCACACCACACACACACTCAAAAGAGAGAGCGAGAGAGAGAGTGCCTTTGTCAAGTAAACAGCATCCTGGAGTTCTTGAAGGGCATCTCTCATGCTATCACCTTGAACAATGATGTCTTCAACAATGTCATAAGCAATCTGCAAGAATATAACTTGTTCACGTGTATATAACATCAAAAGGAAAGGGAAAAAAATTAATTAAAAATCCAGGACAACATAAAAGCATACCTCGCTTCTCTTCGTGTGAATTGATAACATTTTACTTAAAGTTCTAATGCTAGAGAGAGGACCACGAATCTGTGAGAATTTTCAGTCAAAAGGAACCACCAGTACATATATGTGAGAATTTACTATTTGATTTCCAAAATAAAAATGTCAAAAAGAAATATTGCAAGATAACTGGAAAACTACAATTTACCTGCTCAACCAGAGTAGTCATTCTGACATTATTTTGCCATGAAGATTGCTGAAGTAACAATGCTTTCTGTGGAATCAATAAGTGAATAAGCCAAACTATTGATAAATTCAGATGAAATAACAAACAAGAGCATCATATACCTAACACGCCAATTAGAAAAACCACCTTTGTCCACAAAGAACAACTAAAAACATAAGACAATGCGGAGGGCCAATAAACAAGGATAACCAAATCTGAGTGAAAGCAAATGAACGGACCACTAACAAACTACAAGAATTGAGCTTAAAAATATCTAGAGGAATCTGAAAAACTAAAAATAAATTTTATTATGCCAATGCTGTCGGTCGTGCACTTGTACATGGATTAATTATTACACATAAAATTCAAATACCGCAGTTTAAAGGGAGGCCAGAATACATCCATGAAAAAGAATAAGCATTTAAGATAGTCCATCAAAGGCAAATTACAAGCTTAGCATTAGGGCGTGCATCTTTTAGTATCTGAAAATGAAGAGATTTACAAATGGATTTCCATGCATATAGAAAAACCAATACTTGCAAGCTGATTTAAAATAACAGTGGAGTCAGAAAAACAATGGAAGCTACCTGATCCATAACATAAGCCATGGCTAGAGTATGTGAAATATTAATAGCATTCAATCTCTGCTCAGCTGTGAAGTTAAACATCCTCAATGGCTCATCATTTAAAGTCTGGATGCTCCACGATTTTGATTTTTCAAACGAGGCAGAAGGCGAAGCGTAGGCTTCCTCTGGAGAAACCAAATCACTTTCCCCATTTGCACATGATATGTCCATTTCCATCATCGGTAGCTCAGCAACCAAGAACCCAACAACAAAAGGGTGCTTTACCATTGGAAACACAACAGCTCTATGCTCAGCCACGCATTCTGCCTACAAAAAGTACAAATCAACATTTACCCTAAACAATAAGGGAAATGTTTAGTACCGCTTGATGCTGCAGCAACTTTCGGTCACGCTGCAATAACTTACCGATTCATGTTGGCCCTGCGAAATGTTACTGCAGAATGACCAAAATTACTGCTAAGATTCATAAAAGCTACTGCAGGATCAGGGGATGGCAGCTATAGGCGTTACCACCCACCCGAGTAGCCACGAATCATTGTCCGAAACAATAATAAACAGTCATTGATTAAGATACAAATTATTAGTTAATTTTTAAAAAAAAAAAAGAC